CCCCCCCCCCTCCTCCTCCTCCTTCTTCTTCTTCTTCGTCTTCGTCTTCGTCTCCGTCTTCGGTTGTCGATGTAGACGTAGATTTCGTTGTTCTTTCAGTCTTTTATTGACTGTGCGGTACGGTGCCGTGCGGACAAGTAAAAGAGATGACGAAACTTGAAATGTCATATACTCGTAAACGCTGGGATGGAGACTCTGAAATCCGACTCTCTGACTGACTCTGACTCCAAGGTTGAAGTTTACTGATACGAGTGGATTGATCGATTGACTCGTGTTCCGCCCTTTACCACCCATCGGCTATTACACCGCTCCCTGATCTGTATACTAGGGATGTAGGCATCAAAGGCATCGGAATGAACTCGAACGTGGTCATGTATGGTATGTATGTCACGTCCCATAACTTTTTTATCATCCCTATATTCCTCCCTCCCCCGAGTTTTGTTTTCCTGGAAATGAGAAAGGAGATATCTAACCAGTATGCAAGCACGCAAGTACGCAAACAAGCAAAGGAAGGAGGCCGTGGTATCTATCCATCCCAATCCGCCAGATCCGTGTGACTCCGGCCCCATGAATGATACGAAAAAGATCTCCCCCCGGGGTGAAGTTTTAGATCTTGATCCGTTCGTTCGTGAGAAGAAAGATCCCTGCCTCCGCCACCGTCATGTCCCTCATTATCGCTTTGCTGTACACCTGTCGTTTCCCCGACATGCTTCAAAGCAGGAATCTCGTAGCCGTCGGTCGGTCGCTCCGGGCTCTGCGGGTGCGGGAGAAGATGGCGATCAGTTCGGGTTCCGGCTGGCTGCTGCTGCTATGATGTCGATGTCGATATTCATGTCGATATTCATGTCGATCTTCAATTTTGTTCGTCCCGAACCCATCCGTCAACTTCCAGCCCTGAGCTCACGCTGTGGCGGGTCTCCCCCAGTGTCGCCCGATCGGCAGCCATGGTGGAAATTTTTAAGCATGTCCATTCTGCTGAGGGCCCGCGGCCCCATTTACCTCTTTCCTTCCCAGCAAGTCTCGTCGTCTTCTGACTGCATCGGCGAGAGTTTCCAGCACTGTCTCGGTGTCTTCCCAACCTATACATGCGTCGGTGATGGAGACGCCGTACTTCAGCCCGGCCTTGCCTTCCGGAGGTACTTTTTGGTTTCCTAAAGAGCCAAAAGTAAGCATGAGGGCGTAAAACCACATGGCAGGACGTGGGGAAGAGTACGCGCGCAGGAAGAAGGACGAAAACGTTCATGCTTACCTTCATTGATATGACTCTCGATCATGACCCCCATGATAGCCTCCTCGCCTGCAGCGATCTGGTCGGCCAGCACCTTTGCGACCTTGGGCTGGTTCTTGTGCTGCTTCTCACTGTTCCCATGACTGCAATCCACCATGACGCGCTCGTTCAGTCCCTTCTTGCGCAACATCTCTTTGGCATTCTTTATCGACGTGGCGTCGTAGTTTGTCCCGGTAGTACCGCCCCTCAGAATGACGAAGCAGTCCTCGTTCCCCACGGTGCCGACAATCGCCACCACGCCAGGTTTGGTCACGGACAGGAAGTGATGAGGATGTTTCACCGCGCCGATTGCATCAATCGCCACACCGAGCGTGCCATCTGTGCCGTTTTTGAAGCCCACGGGGAAACTCAGACCGGATGCGAGTTCTCGATGTAGCTGGCTCTCCGTTGTCCTGGCTCCTACGGCCCCGATCGAGAGCAGATCGGCCAGAAACTGGGGGGAAATAGTATCCAGCATCTCGCTGGCAATCGGCATCCCTTTCGACGTCAAATCGACAAACAACTGCCTCGACAATCTCAAGCCTTTGTTAATCAGGAAACTGCCGTCGATCTCCGGGTCATTGATCAGGCCCTTCCACCCCACTGTCGTGCGCGGCTTTTCCAAGTAGGACCTCATCACAATGACTAGTTCGTCTTTATATTTCTCCTTCATCTTGAGCAGACGATCGCAGTATTCGAGCGCCGAGACGGGGTCATGGATGCTGCAGGGGCCGATAATCACGAGGAGGCGGCGCAGGGGATCCCTGTCTTGGACCACGGAGACACAGTCGGAGCGACCTGCAAGCACCGTGGACTTGCTGGCAGGAGTCTGAGGGATTTCATGTTGGAGCAGATCTGGAGGGGTGAGAGGGTTGTAGCCTCTGACTGAAGTTCCTCACAGGCATTGGTCAGTTTGATCTCGAGGTTTCCAATTGTGTGGTCTGGTTTTCGACGGCCGACCAAAGGGGGGAAATGACAAGAAGAGAGAGGTGAATACTCACTTCGCCAGTCTTCGGTAGACTCCTTGTTGCCGACGTTGGGGTTGGTGATGTAGTAGGACTGAAGAAGCGATCAGATATGAGTCAAGTTTTCTTCCACATGCCAGACCCCGCAGAAATGGAGTCGGTAGGAGGCGCAGAAACTCACAGCCATGGTTATTGGTTTTGTACTTCGACAGGATAGATTGGCAGAATTGTTGAAGAGGTTAATAGGCAACCAGGATACCAGTGGCCAGCAGAACCACCGAGATTGTCAAGTAGAATGATCGTAGAATGAAGAGAAGCAAACTGCGGAGGCGGTCACTGTGGTCTAAAAAAAAGTTTCGGTGGAGAGATCGAGGGGCGTCTTTGGAGTCTCGACCTTTTTCTTTTTCATGTGCCTTGCATGACATGACGCATTATTCAGGTCTCCGCCGATAGGTCCATCTTCCACCTTCCATCTTCCCTCCGCCCCATGTCAAGCCACAAGGCTGTCACCTCCAACCTGCCCCAGCCATACCACCTTGCCATCTCGACACGCAACATACCTCGTCTTGCCCATACAAATAGTATAACCCAGGACCTCAAACTATGTGATGGATGAGAATGTCTGCACAAGTATTAATATTCCTCCTGGGCGCATCCAGGAGTGATTCGTGGGTAACGTTGCTTCGTCTCCTTTCCGTGTCTCTACCCTCTAACGATATAGTCTCTACCTGTCGCGCTCTATGCTTCTAGCATCACGCATTCTCTGGGTTCAAAGTGTGTATAGCGGTTTTCTTCTCGAGGTTTCAAAGATGGTGCTACAGCCCATCCTTGTCCTCCTTTCTTCCATCTCGCCAATTTTTCCCCTTGCCATCAATGTGCTTCCTCAAAATCCATTGGTTGCCAGCGCTAAGGATGATGCATCGCGGAACAGATCGATCAGGCATCCCGCTGACCATGCTTGAGTGGGTGACTAACGTCCCAAATATCAGTATATCATTCTCATCATGTTCCTCGGGCTTTGCAAAACTTACCGAATCCGCGCAGAATGACCCATTTTTGTTCGTTAACTCTGTCAATCCCTTCCAAGGACTATCCTTAATCGCTTGCTTGCATCCTTCGAGTCGTCTTGTGACCTGTTGGTACGACTCCATTCTCCCCGCAGAGTCCGTCCGGCGCTTCAGATCAAAGTAGAGCAATGCGCGCAAGAAGAAGCCTGTGGGCCATAACCATTCGGGCCCCTGATGATAATTTCTCCCTTTGGATGTTGCAAAATCCGTCGAGTCTTCCGAGTTGTTGTAATATGGCCGGTAGTTCAAGTCAGAAGGGTCCAGCGTCGCCATTCCGGTAGGACCACGAAGCACGTCGTCCGCCACTTTCAGCGCATGCAGTGCTCGTTCTGGAGTGAAGAGATCCGGAGCGACCACCATAGCAATTGGAAAGTTCGGTCGCAACTGATAATCCTCGTACTCTTTTCCAGACTTGTAGAGATCTTTATAGATCCCCCTCCGATTGATAATCTTTGGGTCCACATCGTCGTCAATGTCATCTTTCGGATCCACGGGGATCCAATAGCATTTTTCGAAATTGGCTCGAATACGGTCAGCCCACTCAATGAAGGAGATCTTCTCGCCAGAGTCGGTTTCAACACCTGACCATGGATAGTTCCCTGCCTCGTGGAGCTGGCCAACCCATCTCAGCGCACTGTATAGAAGTCCTGTAATCTCGACGGCAGCCCCGTCTCGAGGCGTGCCAGGAACGCCTTTGCTGCCAGCTCGTTCACTCTCGCCCATTTTGTCCATCCACGTTCCACAGTTCCACTGACTGCCTCCGAAAATAATGCCAGTTTTCCAATCAACATGGACCTCGATTTGGAACCCTTCCGGTCGCATCTGCATGTCCAGCTGAGGCCCAGCGTTGTGTTCTCGAAAAGACAACCCGGACGCGTGTCGTTGTAAGATCTCTTGGATGATCTCTTGAACAGTGGATTCTTTCGAATATGCTCGGGGGTCATCCCAAGGGAACCACGTGTCATCGTACGGTAAGAACCGACGAGGAACTTTTTCCTGCAGAATAGACAGTCCATCCGGTGCAATCTTGGTATAATCTTGGATATTTTGCAAGAAGAACCACGGTGAGTCTCGAGAGTTGTATCTCGGGGCAGCGCCGCTGCTCAACAGGTTGGGTATCATGCCATGTTTCAAGACACTTCCAAACGCCTTGATATGCTCTTTGGCTTCCGCAAACCGACCAGTACACAGATATAGACCTCGAAGAGAGATGAAAACGTCGCGACCCCAGCATCGAGCCCATGATACTGAAAAGTGAGGCAATCCAGCAGCGAGTGATGGCACACTTTTGTCTGGCCACAGTGACGCAGATTTGACATATCCTGTCTGTTGAATGCTCACCACAGCCAGACTCTGCAAAAAGTTTTGACCATGTTGAATGTTTGGGCTCATCAGCTCAATAGCTCTCTTGAAAGCCGCATCGTACGCAGTCTGTAGGATCAAAGCAAAATAACGTGGCAGAAGAAAGCTTGGGATGACCCGTACTGCGTCGAATCGTTCCTTCAGCCATTGTGCAGGCTTTTGTAGTCGAGTATAGTCCTCTTTCTTGGCTATTCTCTCCATCCGTCCAACCAGGAAATCTAGAGCCCACTGTCCTTGTCGAAGGTGGTTGCAAAGTGGGTGGCCCAGATCGTTCCGACGGACAATGGGTTCCAAAACGCTCCACCAGCCTTGAAGGCCTGCATAGACCAGTGGGCCATAATTTGGAACGTTATATACCCCGTCTTGTCCGTCACTGGTATCCCTTTCCTCTGCTTCGCATCGATAGAGAACAAAATTAATATCGATAAGATCGAGCTCGCCGAACGCTTCATCGGTCCCGCTGGAGATGAAGGTTCCAAGACCGAGGGAGTGCTCGGCAGACGGAACCCAGGTCTCGAAAAGTGCAATCGATCCGGGGGGAAAGAAGTCGGCAATAGTGATGGTAGTGTCACCATTTTCGGTATGAATTGTGCTGCCTTTGATATTTCTCACGCGAGAGGGTAGACCAACGAGGTATTCTTTGTCGCCTAGCGCCTCTTTCTTGGCTTGCTCGCTTTGGTCAACTTCCAGTACCCATGCACCGAGAGGACGGACTTTGGTTCCAGCAAGGTGTACAGGACTCATGCCGCCATTTCCGTTGCCGAAGCCAGGGAAAGCAGTATGAGCAATCAGGAAATATCCCTTTCGCGAGTCCGGATGCACTCTATGGAGAGTGATGAGCTCGCCCTCGTGGTGAAGGAAGGTCTCGTCGTACCCATCCTTGCCCATCATGGTGTGGATATGGTTCATGAGCTTCTTGACGCCAGCTATCCCTCCCTCGCCAGCACCGGTATGGACTTCGCCCTCGGAGCTGATGGATGCGTACCTGCGTTTATCGTTCACAAGATCGACAAGCTTTGGGTAGATCTCATCGAAGCCCATGACGCTGCCTGTTGCACAACCGCACATATTTACAAGTGCAGCTGTAGGTAACGTGTCCCGGGCATCTCTCTTCTGAGCGGGCATTTCGTTATCATGGGTACAATCCATGAATAGAGCATGTACCGGGGATTCTCTGATATGTTTGACTACCTCACGAGTTTGTGGGCCATCGCCATTGACAGAGCCGTTTTCGAGCTTGTTATGTAGACTGGAGGGCACGTTGAGTTCAAAGCTGCCAATTGGTCGACCACAATGTCGGTGGACGACCCTGCTCAATTCTTGTGTGCTCCAAGCTTGCATAGCTTCTCGAATCAAGGCACTCAGTCCAAGCCGCTTGACAAAAACGTAATCCATTTGCTCATTGCCAGTAAAGAGCTCAGCGAACACTGCCAAGTTCGGCTGCACCTTTCTCGCCTCGTCTAGAAGGTATTCGGCAACGTGGATTGGAGTCGAGTGACAATTATCGATCCGGAAAGCTGTAAAGTATTTGGCCATCAATCGAACATACTTTGTCATGTGCTCCCACAGATAAGGATTGTCTTCGGGGCCTGTGCCGTATCTCAGCTTGACACAGTCACTCCACGGAATGAGTTCTCTTCTTAGATATGGTCTCCAATCAGGACCTGCATTGTCTTTCATGGCATCGGCTGCCCAAATCCACCCATTGACCGCCAGTGACAGCGCCTTTGGGTCATGTTTAGCTGTTGTTTTATTCTGCGGGAGCCGAGCGAAATAAGTCTCTATTAGGGGATTTTCTTTGGTGATGGGACCGAGTCTTGGGCCATGCGAGTCCATTCTTGTATATTGCAGCCTTCCCTTCGTCTGGTCTAAGATTGCAGCACAGTCGGCATCAAACTCCTTGTAGAAGGGAAGGTTGAGCTCATTGATGATTGCCGTGATCTCTTCCTCTGCTGGCTTGGTGTCTGCTTCATCTTTGTACCGTCCAAACAGAGTGGTAAGAATGGCAGCGCCAACCCCAGGGTCAACTTTGCGCGAAAATCGTCCATCAATCCGAAGACGCGAATGCTGGCCATCAACACGTAGACTGTCCAGCATACCTTTGTCAAGGATAAACGCCGCTTTTTGAGAGAGAGACCACGATTTGAGAGAGTCAAGACCACCACCTATCGTATTCTCGAAACCCTCAGGAGGTAATTTGACTGCGCCTTTTTTCCATGCTTTAATCACAGCCTGAGTGTCTGACTTGACATCGCAGACGAAGTATTCCCAGAGCCGGATCTTGTGGATAACATGCTCGTTTATGCCCGCTACAACCAGGTCCAGATCGCTGGTACTGTTGAAGACAGTGGGGAGACCGAGAGATGTGAGATTGTCGCTGTAGTCGAGGAGAGCATTGTCAACATCGAGCGCTGATTCCAACCAGGGAGCAGTTTCTACACTGTAACCAGCCTCAGGGTGTTCCTCGAGCCATTTGCTGTTGTTGGCAGTATGATTGAAGACAACATCAGTCAGGCCCAATAGCTCGTGTTCCTCTTCCATGGATTTGACCATTCGGGCGACATCATCTTCACCGCCGGGGAAGAGATCCGCGTCAAACGCCAACTGGTCGTACAAGCTATACGGCGAGTTTGATTCTCCCCTTTGTTGTAGTGGTGTGAAGTGGACCATGTTGTAGCCTCTTGCACTAATCCCCCTCAGATGCTTCTTCCAGTCCCCAGGGTAATTGCCCATGAATTTGGAAACCACGGAGAAGATTCCCAGGGCATCGAGGGGCAGACAGCTGCCACCAAGGCGCAGGCTCGGCTCGATGTCGACATAGTATGTGGGGGTACGGGTAGGCTCAGGAGACTCGACGTCGCCGGTAGCAAACTCTGGCAATGGGCTGTAGGTGGTATAAAATGAGAACGCGCCAGCGGAAGTGATGGGGATGTCGATCTCGAGCGTCCGATTGAAGTCTGGGTGCAGCTTGAATTCGTGATAGCGCTTACGGTCGAACGGTTGACCCTCTAAGGGAAAATTAACCCAGAGGCTTCCTTGCCGGCATATCGAGCTGGTCCCTTCAATGGCAAATCGCAGGTAGTACGCAGGCTCGGTCGGCGCAGGCAAGTAGATGTACTCGTTGGGAACATCCGGAGCTCCAGCATCGGTGAGCGGCAAGAGGTATACCTGACGGGTGCTCTGATGGGTTTTGGGAGGCATGTCGCCGGCTCGATGAGGGTATGAAGCGGAACTTCAGAAGGGCTGCCCTTGCGTGGCTTGTCTATATCATTGTCTGATAGCTACTCCTTAACTGGCAAAGCTGAATGTTGCAGGAACTGGAGGTGAAGGCTAGTCACGATCCTGTCAAGAAGATAGGTACCTATTCGAGAGACTGAATTGTGGTATCAATACAAAGGTAAGAGATGAGGAGCCGTTCGGGCAATGATAGCTCACCAAGCAGGTGAGGAGGAAGAAATACTGCGATGGTGGTGTGTAAACCTCGTTATTATGGCACGCTGAGCAGCGTACTAAGCAGAAAGCGGGAGCAAAGCAGCTACTACTCGACCCCGCCACCTTGGAAGCCACGTTTGTCCTGTGTTGGTGTCAACACCTCGACGGGTGCTGCTGAGTGGTGGACAAGTGATGAATGGACGATTTGAGATGGAAAAGATCAATTCTCAGACACGTTCCTGCATCCCACTCTCAGGTTTAACGGAGAAAATGCCAGTGTACCCGGCGAATGGTGGGGGAGCAGAGCAGGATTTCTAGGCGGGACTACGCCTAAATGACGCCTAGTAGCGGGTGCTTATCGTTAAGCGTAAGGTCCGCCTCACGCTCGCAACCAATTCATGTGTATCACTGCTCGTTCTCATGGCGTCAGTGGCTGATTTGGAGTGGAACGCGGGATGGGCTTCAAGGACAGACTGGCCATCATCATTCAGAGCACACCCTCGCGCCCTCGTTTCAGGACCCGGCACGGATTTCCAGTAGATCAGCCGAGCGGAGTCACTGAACCCGATTCTTGACCGCTTCGACCAGATCAAACCCAAGATCCAGGGAATGCGACTTGGCTACTGCTGCCTTGATCTTTTGTACAAGACAAAATTCTATAACGGGGAGTATACGAGTAATTGTAGAGCAGGTTGCATACCTACAGACCGACTCCCAGAATCATTGGTACTATTGGATTTTAGAGACTAGGTAGGATATTCTCTTCTGCCCTTGGAACATCATCGTGGCGAGAGCTACGCGCTGTGCTGGCGTATACCGAGTACGGTGTCAACGATGGTTGTTTCGGTGTCCGTTCTCCTGGCAATAACATCCGCCGATGCTATGCTTGTGGCCAATTGCCTGCGCGTTGGGGGATTGGCATTGGAACTTGCGGTAAGACCATGTTGGAGAAATTTTCAATATTTTACGCTCTCATGGTTATGTGCGGACGGCAGTGGATCAGAGCCACTCTCTCGTACATCGTATATCCTGTACTACTGTGGACACCGCCGTGAACCGTGGTCGAAGAAGGTCCTCCTGCTGGGCAGCTTTTCAGAGAAAATTCTGTTCTCGCTTGGCGGCCAGACAGATGGACAACCTGGCAGATGATGGACGCCACGATGATCGATGCGATGGCAACAGAGATATTGCCGACGCTTGGAAGAGGTCACTGTTTTCCTTCGCTCGCTAGCGAGGATAGGCGGCCTTGGAGATGGTGTGATAGGAGCAGCGGCAATCGACATCATCACTTGCAGATCGAGGGGGAATCTGGGGAAACTGGTGCTAGCCTATCGTTGTTACATCAAGTCGGCTCAAGAGTTGAATTTACCGCGGTCTTGGAGGCATCTGCAAAGGGAAATTTGAGCCTGAGGCGTGTGCGCGTGCACGTTAAGGGTTTTTTTTTAGGCAGTGGAATCGAGTGAGAAGGACAGCCTTGATGGAGCCGAACCCCGAGGAGTGGAAGGTCTGGAGAATGGCGAAGAGGGGAGGACAAGAACGCTGATTCAATGCCCAGCCTTCTTAGCCTCAGGTTCTACGCAATGAGGCTGTTTCTATTACGTCTAGTTTTGGTCCTCGTCCTCCTCCAGGCAAGTTTAACAGTCGTGTTTATGAAAGGCTTCTTTTTTCTCTCCGCACGTGTCGCCAGAGAATTTTTCTGGTCAAATTCAGAGCCCTGATGATGCAAGCCTCGGATGTCGCGTCAATGCTACTTATTGTGATGTAAGTCGTAGGGAAACCGGGGCAGAGTACACTGTTTGTAGCCAACCTTCACTTCTAAAATCCATCCGTCCCAATCTTCGCAGACTTAAAACAATACCCTACATTCGCAGACATTCCTATCCTACAGTCTTCCTCTTAAAGCCCGTTCTGCCTCTCCACAGCGCTCTCCAGATCACTGTACTTAAATCTCGACTTGTGACACAACCTACTCCTGTGGGAAGAAAAGTCTTCCTCTACCATATTCTTGAAGTCCATTCTATTGCAACCAAGAGACAACATGACCAACCATGCCAACGCAACTGTCACCTATGGCCGTGGTGGCGCCGGTCAGTACATGCTCAAACAATCCACAGATTGCGTTTTGCGAATCAGCCGTGTCTAACTTTGTTCATCAGGCAACGTCACCACCAAAACTAAACACTCGCCGTCTTTCGAGCCACAGACCACTCCTTCTTTGAAATCCAAGACGTACACGACCGGACGAGGCGGGACTGGCAACATGGCCAAGAACGACTTTGAGCACCCAGAAGAAGCCCGCCGCGCCCAAGATGTCGATGTCCCCGCAATTACAATTCCGGAGGGCGTCCACCACACCGGCAGAGGTATGCATGGACTAACTGTTGAGTCTCGAACTATGTAAAGCTAATATTTGATCTGCAGGTGGTGCCGCCAACCTGTACAAGCCCACCGAGGAAGAACAACGCAAAGCTCGCGCACACAACGAGAAAGTGCGATCCGACTCCTTCAACAAAGAACGCAGCACTATCCGCTCGCTAGCCGACAAGACAAAGGAAACCTTGACCGGCAGTCATAGCGATGATAAATGAGCAAACAGACACGAGAATGAGCAAGTTGTCCACGGTGCGACAAGAATTCTAGTTCATGGGAGCGTTCAGATGCATGCGGTGTGTTTTATTGGCAGGGCATGGAAGGTCACTAGTTCTGAGGATGCATTTGTTCCTGTTCTTTCGGTCTACTCGGTCTATAATGATAGTGCTAACGCCATGAGGGCGGCAAGTTGAATGCTACACGAATATTCATTGGTTCAAACTTCGGTCACGGTTCTGCAAGGGCGTGCGAGGATGCACCGGCGAAAGAACTCTGGAGTACAAGTACATTGCTATTGGAGAGACTGGTCTCATGTCAAGACCCCTGGGACGCCTTAGTTGTTGTACTATTACTTGCCCAAAGAAAAACACCAGGAGGGATGTTGCTGGGCTGCAAAGTGGAGCGGCAAGTGTTTGTACCTCGTGCTCGTAGACGAGCACGCCGGCAAGCTGCACATGCCAATCGACAACAAACGAAAAACGCGCACCAATTCCATGGTCACACAGCGTCAGACCCATCATCGAAGCAGCTCCGGCAGTACGAGGTAGCCATGTCAACCTCGTGGATCTTGCTCTGCACGGCACTTTGACGCCTTGATTCGGGTTGCGAGACGGGTAACCCGAGAGAAAAAGTGACGTGTCACACAAGGCACCCGCCACTGACCTCATACCAAGGGTAGCGGCACCAGCGGTAGGATTGGGAGCATTCGCGTGAACAAGATCTAGAAGAGGTGTGGAAGGCTCTTGACAATGACTTGCCATCGGCCGAAAGCTGCGACTGGCGTTGGTGGAGTTTAGGATTGTTGGGTGGTTATCATTTTATTTTTTACTTTTTGGTTTATCCTTGACTGTGGGCTTTCGGCAAACTATGCTATTCATGTAGAGGGACAAACAAATACGGGGCGGAAGTTTGGGGGGTAGGGGGGAAGGGAGGATCTAGTTGGGACTAAATTGCGGCAGATGTGCAGGATCGACGACTTGGGTGTGTTTGCCGCGAGCCCCGAAGGTCTATACAGGTGAAGAGGGGGGCAAGAGGAATTGAGAACAGATGGCAAACAAGGTGTGGATTGGAATCAACCACAAGTACATACATGTATGTACGAGGTACTTAATCCAAGTACTCGGGACATAGCCTATTGACCTACCCAAGTACCTTAGGTGCCTCCCTAGGTATGTATCTAGGTAACATATACCTAGTTGATAGCCTAGCACCTGCAGCAAACTCCCCAAACACCAGCTCCTTGTACAGCCCAGAGTGCCAGATCATGAACATCTATGTCAGGGGCGGTGGATATGTAAACCCTACCTTTTGGCTAGGTTGCTAAGTACCTAGGTAGGTGGGTAAGCGGTTGCCTTCGAGGGGCAGCTGCTGTACCTACCTGCCTACCTCCTCGTACAAATCTGTAGCTAACTGCTAGCCACTTTGGTCAAACCTGTCGGATGCGCATCCGCCTGCATTGTTCATTGTTGGGAGATCCCAGAGCTATTCGCTAGGTGCCCGTCAAAACGTTGAAAACAACTTCTGCTCGTGCTTCAAGCGATAGGTCGATCTCAGACCGATCCGGCTGCTTGGGCCTGGGTAAGAGACTGCAAGTGGCTGTGTTCAAGGTTCTCCTCATCATGATGGTGTTTTCTCTTTCTTCACTACTAGAGGCACCGGGGGGAAGTGGCCAACATGGGCCCTTGTCCAAAGAGACTCTCAGACTCTCTGGGTGACTGCAACTAAGAGCGACCGATCCTCGCCTGAGGGTCGCTTTGCTCTTTCCCCCCGGTCCCCCTACTACACTCTACTACCTCTACTCCATCCACCACATCTACTTTTGTACTTGGACGGCTCCCACACTTGACCGAAAGGCCGAATGCTTGAACCTTTTCTTACTAAAACACAAACCCACCCGATGTTCCCCCCCCCTTGCCCCCCCCGGACGTTCTTTTCCTCCCTTTGGCCTTGATCGCCGGCCTCAACCTCGGCCTCTGCCTCGGGGTCGCGGCCTTCACGAGCATTTTTCATTTTCTCCTTGCGCTTCTGCTTTCTCTCTCTTTCTTTCCGGACGTATTTCTCCAGCGTCGTCTCCTCCGGCTCAGGCG